GGAAAATGCGTCTGTGTACAGAGTTCGGGTCCTTGTATAAGACTTTTCAGGCCTGTCAGCATTTGCGTTGTTGTATAGTTCCGTCGTATCTTGGTATACATGTTTCGACTGCAGGAGGAGGGCTGATACTCGAGATGACGAGGTCTTTGAGCGGTCTTCGCCCCTTCTTGGGCCACCGACTCGCAGACGTCAGGGTGAGCCATCGACGGGCGCGACACGGCACCCGCGTCGGACGAACTGGAGGCACGTCGCTCATGCCAGGTCCACAGCAATGTTGTTCGGCCACTTCGGTCTCTACTTGGATCAGCGCGGGGGTTGCTAAGGGGATAGGGAGTTGATCAGTGGAAGCTAGGGTCAGTCGTACCTGTCCTAACCTACTTTGGAGGTCCTTTGTCAGTGCCCAAAGTGGCTTAAAGGGTTTAACTGCCTGGATATTTGCCGTCCTTAGGGCATTTGAAATGCACTTCTAAGCTAGGTTCGCCCAAATACCGCGCCGTCCAAACAGACTTCTGGCGGACTGGTGTTGTCAGTTCCCAGCGTTTTTGCACCACTTCTGCCTCCAGGGGGCCGTCTGTGGGTACTCAAAACATTCTCTGAACTTTCCCACGTAGCATGACACCTTGCTGCCGCCATTCGACGGCTGGTGCTTCTGTTCTTCACGCTTTGCGTATCCTCACTTGCCCATTCACAACACCTGCCCATGAGAGATGACGGGGATAAGGGGCGAACGAAACACAGTAGTGAAACAAAGGGATCTCTGTGAGCAAGGGGGTTGCCTTGGAGGACCTCTTCGAGCCATCCCTGGGCCTGCGTTGGGGCGAGGGAGGAGGAGGAGGAGGCAGACGACGACGACGACCACGACGACGACGACGACCACGACGACGAGAAAGAGAAGGAAAAGGAACAGGAAGACGATGCGGGCAAGGACGAGGACGAGGAGAAGGAAGAAGAGGAGGAGGAGGAGGACAACGAGAACGAGGACAGAGTCCTCAACATCGCCTCTTGGAGCCCTCTTGGGGCTCTTCTAGGGGAACCAGAGGTCCTCTTCGGGCTTTTCTGGGAGGTCCTGGGGTCCTCTTGGGACCCCCTCTTAGGGCCCTCTTGAGGGTCCCTTGGGAGCCCTGTAGGGCCTCTAGTGGTCATCTGTGGGACCATCGATCAAAAGGGGGGCGGACATCGCCTCGTGGGGCGCTCTTGGGCCGATCATAGGCGCTCTTGGCGCCGTCTTGGGGGCCTTTTGGGCCCCTCTTGGCCTCTTTTCGACCATCTTGGGGCCATCGTGAGCCTCAAAAGCGCAGTGGAAGCGACAAGGCGAGAAAGCCACCATTGATTGTCTGCCGGTTTTTGAAGATGTCGGCGTCCTGTGTGGGTCCTGAGGAGCTCCGAGAGCACTTGGAATCGTCTTCTGGCCCTCGTAGGGCCTCTGAGAGGTATGAGGGAAGTTATCTCGAAACACTGTCGGCGATCTTGAGCCATCTTGGAGCATCGGGCGCTTTCTTAGAGCCATCTTGGGCGCTCCAACGATTCGCGGCCCGCCCCGAAAAACCTCAGACAGGGGTGGGGGGGCGGGGAGGTAAACCTTCGGAAGGGAAGGGGCTTGTTGGGCGAGGAGGGGAAGAGCTCGCTAGACCACCGTATCCCAAAGGGCTGGTGGGACTGCGCCATCCCAATCCAAGGTTGGGCCTCTGCTCTGCGCCGGCTCCGGCGGAGTATCGCGCGGGGGCGCGCCCCCGCGCTTTTGAAGTGTCCGATGAGGTTCTGCCCCGCCGCGCAGGTCGGCAGCCCTCGCGCACGAAGGTCGGAGCAAGGTTCCACCGCGGCGATGTGCGATCCCCCGTCCCCATGCCGTAACGATAACGATTGCTTGCGTGTGGTCAGGGCAGCGCGCCCTCCGGCCGCCCGAGGCCCCGCCCGCCTGTGTTCTGTCTCCCGAATTAGTGCTTTGCGCGGCCCGCTCTTAACCGGAAGAGGCTCGCTCTCGACCCGCAGACCAAAAATGTGTGGTCAAGGCAGCTTTCGTGGGGCGGGCTCGGAGAAGAGACACACACACACACATTGCATGGGCAGAGGCTGCCGGAACTCCGCGAGGTTTCCTGCAGGCAGGGGGGGAGCCAGCGCCGATCCAAGGAACACGCGCGGACCAGCGCAGGGGGATTGCTAAGGTAATGGGCATGCTCTCAGCAATCCCTGCACGGTGAGCAGTGGCGAAGCGTCTTGGCGTGCCTATAGGCCTACCAACCAATATTCTAAGAACCTTCTGTGGTTTCCGCACAATGTTCTTAGAACATGTTTGGCGGGGGCTGTCTTGTTTTAAGACATCGGGTTTATGTTCTGATAATGTTCTTAGAACAAGTCTGGGTTCTATGAACAGTTCGTGGTAGGCCTATAGGAATGCCGGGACGGTCGGTCCCTGCTCAAGTACGGTGAGCCTACAGATCCGTACCCAAATCTTCGGTTACATGTTAATTGATCTTAGCCGTCCGCACCCATTCCCAGGCATTCTCATGCGCGCGCATTTTCGCATCGTCCGCAGCAGCATCGCCGCAGCAACAGCAGCAGCCGCAGCACTGTTTTCAGCAGCGATGGCAGCTCAGGCGGCCGGACACGAGTGTGTTCTGTCGTGCGCCAGCGAGCCCACCCAGTCACAAAATGCGCATTACAGTCACCGCGCCTAGTAAGAACGCGCGCCTGCATCTAGGGTACCCTCGTGTCCTTGCCTCTGCGGGCCGTCATTTGCTTTGTCACTGGTCGTCCGTCGCCCAAAGAATCCAGACGTCGGCCTTCAAGGGTCTCTTGTCCTCACCAACTCGTGCTCAATACACGTTTTGACTGTATGCAGTGCCACACAACAAACACGTGTGGACCTCCGACAGTTTATGCGCATTCCTTTGGTCCTCTACTCGGTGTAGTGTTGGCGGGTAGGGTCGCGTTCGGAGGACGGGGACGGTGAAGCGCTCCCTCCCGCTGCAAAACCAGCGCGGACGCCACCCCCGAGTCGCCGCATCACGTCATCTTTTGGACGCCTCTGCCCCCGTCCATGATCACGGTGTGTTCGTGTCGCGCCGGCGTGGCAGCGACCGCGCCGCGAGCGCTCAAGGTTGACCGCCGCCAGTGGCCCAGTATCTGCCCAGGTGGAGCGATCTGGCGATCGGAAACCAGCCGACTGTTGAAGGTCGAGCGGTCCACGTGGCGTCAGAAGCCAACGCCGGGGTCGTCACGACACGAACCTGCCGCACGGGGTTGGCGCGCGTGTGGCGCTTAGTGGGCCCCGGAAACGGCAGGGCCGTTTTTTCACCGTTTCCGAAAAAGTGTCCTTTGAAAATGGAAACGGCAAAAAAACGGCGACCGGAAACGGCAACAACAACGGCTTCAGGATCAGAACCGGAGCGGGAACCCGTACAAGAACGACGACGAAACCGGTAAAACAACGGCGTCGGAACCGGCAACAAGAACGGCAAAACGCAACCAGTAAAAAAACGGCCCTGCAGTTTCCAGGGCCCACTTAAGGTGGTGATCACCCTCGGTCCCGTCGGCGGTGGAGGCGCCTGCTGTGCACGTCGGCAGTGGGGCACCCTCGGTCACATCCAGACCGAGAGGATGAGAGCTTTGAGCCTGCGTGTTCAGGCCAAGGAGGCGGCGCAGAGGGCGTCCTCCTCCACAGGCACGTAGCGTGGTTTTTCAAACGTTTCGGCCTCGTGGGGGGAAACAAAAACAAACCTCGGTCTCCTCGGCGGTGGAGGCGCCTGTTGTGCACGCCGGCAGTGGCATCCCACGGTGCGGAGCGTCTCCTTCTCGGGGGGGATGCCGCGCTGCGGGGCGCGGGCGCGCCGGATCGAGGGCGCGGGCATTCGTCGGGGGAGGGAAAACCTCCCCGACCAGGCAATTGGCGTTTGCTACACGGCCTTGGGCGTTTACCAAACAGGCCTGCCTTGTTCGATTCCCTCTTTGGGTGCGTTTACTCAACAGCCTCGCTTGTCGGGGTGGTTCTCGTGGGGAAGCCTCCCCGACCAGGCACTTGGCGTTTACTACACGGCCTTGGGCGTTTACCAAACAGGCCTGCCCTGTTCGATTCCCTCTTTGGGTACGTTTGCCCAAATCGCCTCGCTCGTCGGGGTGGTTATCGTGGGGGAGGAGTATTGGCCATTATTAAAGGGGGGATCAGTGGTCGTATGGGTGGGTATGTCAACTTTGGCCTCGGCCTGCGCTGCTCAAACTGCCGGACTGCGGGTTCTCTTCAGCGGCGGTGGAGCAGTCGGCCCCTCGGGACACGTCCGAGAAGCGGCGGCACGAGGCCGCAGCCACTGCGGCAGAGCACCATCCTTGGTTGGATGACGGCCCTAGCGAACTCGATGAGCTCTCCGAGCAGACTTTCTCCTCCTCCTCCTCCTGCCCCTCCTCCTCCTGCTCCTACTGCTCCTCCTCCTCCTCCTCCTCCTCCTTCTCCTCCTCCTCCTCCTCCTCCTCTGTGTCCGCGTGTGCAGGGTGGGAGAGAGACGTGCACCGATCCAGCACCTTAGTTTAGGGGCAGTTTGGGGCCCTCGGTCCTGCAATTCTCGATCCCCCGTAGGGGGTCCCTCGGCTACCGAGCGCCCAATGCTGTCCGTCAGAACCAGGACACATCCCGACCCGATCGGTCCGATTGGATCTCGAGATCGCCTCCCTGCCCAGCAATCGTCGTCATCGTCCCCGTCGCTGGGCACTGATGTGATTGCACAGCGGCGATCCAGATGGAACGAGGGTACCGATACGGCTCGCATCGCTTGCGCCGAGATGTTTCCGGGGATCTGGAGCCACTTTGGCTCAGCCCTTTTCGGCTCCTGGCCATCTCCGCGCCGCCGCGCTGCGCCACAGGCGCAGCGGGGCGCTGCGCCCGTAGCCAGCGTGCTCGGGGCAGGAGGAGGAGGAGGAGGAGGAGGAGGACGAGAAGAAGCAGAAGCAGGAGCAGGCGCAGGATCGGAGGAGGAGGAGGAGGAGGAGGAAGAGGAGGAGGAAGGTGTGCGATGGCGGCCCTCCCAGTGAGCGCGGGCCTGATGGATGGCGACTTCCTCGATGGAGTCGTCGAGTCGGCGATGCGCAGCATGGCCATTCATCTCAAGGTTCGGATCCAACACCCGGGAGGTTTGCTTCGGCATCGGTGGTGATAGTCCAAGAGCGGGCCTAATGCGGCAGACGGCATACATGCTGCTGAATCTTGCTTGATTTCGCTTAATGTTGAGCCTAACCTGGGCTAATCCAGCGTAATGCCCCCCTAATCAGACTGAGTAGCCCTTGAACGTTCTTGCGAAGACCTCCCAGGAGCTGCGTCCGAATCAAGGCAGAGTACCGGAAGGAGCTCTGTAAGGCTTTCGAGGTCGCCAGCCTGGAGGCGGTCACGTGCGACAACCTATATCGCGGTGAGGCTCCCGTTATCGTGTTGTCGCCTTCCCTGAACATGCCAGTGATTGAGCCTAGCGAGGATACTCTTCGCTTGGCTGGTGGGCTACAGACTTTGAACGTGTCTGAGCATGCGGTCATGGACAACACACGGGGGTGCATAACATGCCCCCCTCCTCCATGCGCATCGAGGCTTTCCCCAAAGAATTCCAAGAGTGGAGTCTGGAGTGAGAGCATGACGAACAACCCGAGTAAAAATACTGCATCCAGCACCGGAAGGTCGCAGCATTCGCCAGCGCGGTGTTTGGATGGGCCCACCCGTACCAATAGTCGCACTGGCAAGCGCCAGGTCAGGTTGACTCAGCAGGAGCGTGAGTCCCTCAAAAGAATCAGGAACGAGGAGATCGCTCAGGAGGAGGCCGTGCTAACGAGGAGAGGCTCACGCGCATCGGCGCTGAAGGCACCTGCCCTGGACGAGGCCAGCCAGTGCAGGCTGATCTCGTACAAGTTAGTCGCGAGCCCGGAGTTTGATTTCTGTATGGGCGTCGTGATCATCGCCAACGCATTGACGATAGGCCTGGAAACCTCCTTCTCGCGGCACGGGCGTGAGATCCCAGCGTCGCTGAACATCCTCGAGTGCTCGTTCGTCATCATCTACTGCGTCGAGCTGGTCATGAGAGTATACGGTGGCGGTGGGCCGCGGGCATTCTCGAACAATTGGGTGAGGTTCGATGCTGTGATGGTGGCCGCGGGCATCTTCAACCTGCTGTTCACAATGGCATCCTTCGGCGGTGGCGCGGCAGCCGACGTTGTGGACAGCGTGAGCATGCTGAAGATGCTGCGGCTGTGCCGCCTCGCCAAGACCGTGCGGGTGCTCGTCCAGTTCCGCACCCTGTGGATGCTCGTCCAGGGGCTGATGTACGCCGTCCTGCCAATGCTGTGGACGGCCATCCTCATGAGCGTTGTTATCTACGTGTTCGCTGTCGTCGCCATGGAAACAATCATTGCCTCGGATCAGGATGATGACTACAGCACCGCGGCGCGCAATTATGACACCATCGGGGGGTCCATGCTGAGCCTGATGCAGGTCCTGACTCTTGACAGCGCGGCCGCAATCTACAGGCCACTGATCGCCACGAGGCCATGGCTGATCATGTATTTCTTGGTCTTCATCCTTCTTGGTCCCATTGCCCTCATGAATATCGTTATGCGGGTGCCTGTGGTAAGTTCCGCCACCGTGCCAGCGCAGCACCCTGTGTGTGGTGGCCACGCGGGATATGCCCCAGAGACTGCTGTATGAGACATCTCTGCTGTATGAGACATCTCTGCTGTATCTGTGTGCGGATGGCTGCTGTATGACACATCTCTGTCCCCATGTTCCGGCATGCCGTATGCCATTGCTGCACAGAGGGCCGTAATCTGTGACAGGTATATATTGTGTTGGGCAGATGGCGTTGTATGTCAAATCGTTTTGCTCGCTCCGCCTGCCCACGTTGTATTACTTGTTGGCACCTGGATGGATTCGAGAGTGCCATGCGGAACGGAGCGTGCATTTTTCAGAGGAGACCCCTGTTAGCCTTGTGTCGGGCGTGTCCCCCTACAGGGGGATTTTCGACGAGAAATAAGAAGTACCTCAAAATTAGTCAAAAAATAATTGAAAAAATAGTCCGGGGAGTGGCCGCAGTAGCCCCCGGTGGCCCCCAGTGGCCCCCAGGGGCCCAGAGCGGGCCTCCGGTGGCCTCCAGCGCGGCCTTCCAGGGCTCGCGGTGGCCTCCCGTGGCTCCTCCCGTGGCTCCTCCGGTTGCTGCTCCAGTGGCTGCTCCAGGGGCTCCTGTCGAGATATATCGCCCCCGACGCCCTTCCGTGCCTCCCCTACATATCCCTTTCCCGCTCTCACCCATGCACTGTACCGAAGCCGTTTTGGCGCTGAGGATTTGAGAGTGAAATGGATCGGCATCGTTTATTGCTGTCAAGATGGCAGCGGAGCGCGGGTGACACTGACCCGCAGATCCACGGAGATCAGCCTTCCCGCCTGTGAGGCGGCTGACTGGCCGCGATGAGCGTGGAGGCTCTCGCGCAGGAGCTATTGGAGACGAAGCGAGAGTTCGGCCGACTGATGGAGACGGTCGAGAACCAGAACCAGACGATCACAGGGCTCCAGACGGAGCGAGCCGACGCAGATGCAGCGAATCGGCAGCAGTCGACGAAGGCGTTCGCCAACGCGATCATCGGAGACAAAGGGAAGCCGCCGACCTTCGACAACACGAAGAAGCTAGACTTCCACGACTGGGCGTTCAAGTTCAAGGCGTACATCGGCAACCAGAGTCGGAAGTGCTTAGAGGGAATGACCCAGGTCGAGTACAGCCAGAACCAGCTGAACTACGCCAACTACGACGACGAGTGGTGACAGATGGCGCAGTCGTTGTTCTACCAGCTCACGATGTATACGGAGGGCGCCCCGCTCGGCATCATCCGCAAGGTCAGTAACCAAGACGGATTCGAGGCATACCGCAGGCTGAGCTCCCAGTATGACCCTCAGAACATGGGCAGCATCCTGTCGAGACTGATGAGGGTGCTGGAGTTCGACTTCGGCGGAGAGGCGGATTTTCTCGACAACATGGCGAAGTTTGAGATCTCGATCGAAGAGTACGAGAAGCTGGCGAGCGAGGCCCTCAGCGACAACATCCGCTCGGCGGTCTTGATCGCGCGAGCCCCTGAGGCCTTGGGGAACCACGTGCTGCTGGGGGCACCCAAGGAGGAGATCCAGTGGGCGAGGATCAAGAAGGTGGCCGCCGACTTCCTGCTCACGAAGCAGTCCATGCCCGGTGGCCCTGCGCCGATGGACATCGGCGCCATCAACAGCAAGGGCGGAAGAGGATACGGCAAAGCCAAAGGCAAAGGCAAGGGCAAAGGCAACGACACCAGAGGTAAGGGCAAGGACAGGAGCAGCGGCGGTGGCATCGCCGGCGGAGAGAAGAAGTTCCAGGGACACTGCGGACGATGCGGCAAGTGGGGGCACAAACAGAAGGACTGCTACGCCAAGATCCACAACGTGAGCACCTGGGACGGCAGCGGCTGGGACGGCAACACCTGGGACGAGAAGTGGGGGAGCTGGGACACCACCAACGAGAAGGAGAAGGGTGCGGCCTCCTCCCACGAGGACGCCAGCGCCTCCATCAGTGCCAACGCCCTCCAGTGCTCCGAGTGCGAGGACGCTGCGTGGATCTTCGCCGTCGGCGCGCTTGAGGGCCCGAGCGGAACAAGAGTCGGCCAGACGGTTGACATCATGGTGGACACTGGCGCCAACAAGTCGGCGCGTGGGCCCAGCGACTTCCCCGACTACCCCACTATGAAGGACAGGAGGCTGGAGATCAAGGTCGCCAACGGGACCTCCTTGAAGCACTTCGGCGACAAGCAGGTGAGCTTGAAGACGCAGAGTGACGACGAGATCAGTGTGAGATTCCACGTCACGGAGGTGACGCAACCGATCCTGAGTGTCAACAGCATCAACAAGGCAGGAGCTGGGGTGGAGTTCCCACCGTCAGGCTCGACGGGCCCACCCTCGATCACGCGGGATTCGAGGAGCGGGCGATCGCGGCTTGGGCTGAAGAGGAGGCTCGGCCTGTTCTTCCTGCGCGCGACGGTGATGAGCTACGTCGGCACCAAGATCGGCGCGGACGGCCTGGTCGTCAACAACACGGCGACGGGCGTCCCCGAGGAGTACATCGCTGCGCAGGTGGACCAGCCGATGGAGCAAGAAGTCAGGCCCGAGGCTACGGTGATGACGGCGCCAAGGGAGCCGACGCGAGCCGAGAGGGGGGCTCACGAGGCCTTCCACTGTCCATACGCAGCGCGTTGCGCGGACTGTGTAGGGGGGCGAGGCCTGGACGACAGGCATGAGAGGATCAAAGAGGTAGAGGGTGTGCCTGTGATCCAGATCGACTACATGTTCGGCAAGACGCATCGTGACGAGAAAGTGCACCCAGTCATGAATGCCATCGACAACGTATACCACTCTACGGCCTCGGCATGGTGCGAGGCGAAGGGTGGGGGAGACCTGTTTCTCCTGAAGTGTCTCAAGCGGTACGTGGAGAAGCTCGGGCTTGAGAAGGTTATCATCCAGTGCGACCCCGAGGGCCAAGGACGCGGCGGCCAAGGTCGCGAGGGACATCGGGAACAACGCGACCTTCAGGTACACACCGAAGACGAGCAAGGGGAGCAACGGCATGGTGGAGAGGTTCCACTCGTTCATCGAGGGCATGACGAGGACCTGGAGGAGAGCCATTGGGGCAAAGTACGGTACCGTGATCGAGTTGAGGCATCCCCTGATGGCCTGGATCGTGCGCCACGCATCGTGGACCCGCGATCGCTTCCTCATCCACCGCTCCGGCTACAAGACGTCATACGAGCGTCAGCACGAGAGGCACTATGCCAAGAAGGTCCTGCCACTCGGCGAGACGGTTATGTGGAGGCAACCTGGGCCTATCGCCGCCAAGTTCGAATCCGCGTGGGGATGCGCATCTACCTCGGGCGGTCGTTGGAGGACGACTCCCACATCTGCGGCGCCAGGCATGGCATCGTCGTGGCGAGGTCCATGCGGAGGCCCGTGGAGAGCGAGCGCTACGACAAGCAGCTGCTCCTGGCCGTGAAGGGCATCCCGAGCGACACGAAGGCGCCGAATGCATCTACGCCAGTAGCAGACAGACCAGCCCCCGACCTCAACCTCCCGCAGCCTGCCAGGCTTCCGCGACCTGCGGACGCCGCGCCCGAGGAGGGGCAGGCAGGCCCCCAGGAGGGGGAGGTGAGGTCCGAGGAGCCGCAGGAGGGGGGCCCAGGAGGCGCCGAGGCAGCCGCCGACGGCGACGAGGCCATGGACGACGCCGAGGACGCACCACAGCCCGTCACGAAGAGGCCGAGGGGCCGATCAGTTACACGAGTGCTTCCAGACCCGATGTCAAGAGAGTTTACCCCGGGCTGTAGTGGATGCTTGGGCACATCGTACCGTCATTCGAACTTCTGTCTCGAGAGGAGGGGGTTGCCTCATAACGAGCCGCGTGGCAAGCGGGCCGCGGCAGAGAGCGCAGCTGCACCTGAGGTGAAGCGTGCAGCAGTCGAGGAGCCTGAGAGCTCGGCTGGCAAGCGGGCCAGCGATGAGGCGCCTGCGAAAGGCGAGGCGCACAAGGAGAGGATAATTGGTACGGTGAAGGTTGGCAGCGTGTCCGTCGCCAACTTGATGGGCTACCCCGACGACACCGAGCTCTGCGCGCCGTGCGAGCTCGACCCCAACTTCGAGCTGCTGAGCGAGGCGTACTACGACGACGACGGTGAGTGCCTCGACCCCGACGCCGTCCGCGAGGGGATCAAGAGGGAGGCGAACTTCATGGAGTCCCTCGGCGTCGGTGAGGTCGTGGCGCGACCCCGAGACAAGAAGGTGTGGGGCACGAGGTGGTGCCACCGCAAGAAGGGTGAGGGGGTTCGCAGCAGGTTCGTCGTGAAGCAGTTCAGGGACGCCCAGGCGGGGGATTTCTTCGCTTGCACTCCGCGCACGGAGGCTGTGCGCGTGCCGATGGCGGCGGCGCTGATGCTCAAGCACGCCATCGTGACGAAAGACTTCAGCGTGGCGTTCATGCACACGCCCGTGAAGGACGGCGCCGAGATCTACGTGGAGATGCCGCCCGAGTACGGCATGGGGCATGGATACGTGTGGAGACTGAAGGGGTCTCTGTATGGGCTCAGAGAGGCAGCGCTACGATTCCAGGAGCTCCTGGAGAGCATCGTGGTCGGGATTGGATTCAAGGTCTGCAAGGCGGAGCCCACCATATACCATCACATCGAGAAGGGCATCAGGGTCGTGGTCCACACGGACGATCCTCTTGCCTCAGGTCCCACGCGGGGAGTGCTCGACGAGTTCTTCGACGAGCTGACCAAGCACCTCGCGATCAAGGGGCGGTACGTCCTGGGCGAGAACCCCGTGATTTACCTCGGCTCGTCGCTGCAGAGGTTCGGGGACGTGATCGTGGAGAAGAGCAAGCCCGGGCACGTCGAGAGCATCCTCGACGCGGCGGGGATGCTGGGCTGCAGGCCTGTGGGCACGGCTGGGGCCAGGCCAGCCCTCACCCCGCCCGGAGCCGAGCAGCCGCTCAACAGCGAGGAGCACTCGCTGTGCAGGAGGTGCTGCGGGAAGATCCAGTGCGCGATCCCGCGGAGGCTGGACGTGATGCACCTGCTGAAGGAGCTCGGTCGTCGGCTGAGCGAGCCGAGGGTGGCCGACATGAAGTGCTTGAAGCACCTCCTCCGCTACCTCAGCGGGACGGTCGACCTGGCCATGGTCCACCGCTCCACGAAGGACTACAAGCGCATCCGAGGTAGCACCGACTCGGACTGGGCGGGATGCCACGAGACCCGCAAGTCGACAGCATGCGGGATCGTGCGGTGGTGCGGGGTGGTCGTCAGTGCCTACGCCCGCGCGGAGTCCGTGCTCGCCCAGTCGAGCCCTGAGGCCGAGTGCCTGGCGGCCGTGGAGCTGGCGGCGGAGATGCTGTACGTGAGGGAGCTCGTCAAGTTCATGGGCTCCGACACGTCGCTGGAGATCGAGTGCGACGCGTCCTCCGCCATCGCGATCGCCTCGCGGCGCGGACTCGGCAGGTTGCGACATCTGGAGGTGAAGTGGCTATGGCTCCAGCAGCTGGTCGGTGCGGGCCAGATCAAGATCGCGAAGGTGAAGGGCACGGAGAACCTCCCCGACGTTGGGACGAAGTTCCTGGGGAAGGGTGCGCTCGAGAAGTGCCGCACCATGCTCGGTCTGGTCCCGATCGACGCCCTCGGGAATGGCATCGTGGCTGCCCTGAGCGCGTCCCGAGGAGCACGGTACCTGGCGACGTTCATGGTCCTCGTGAACGGCGTGAGGGCCCAGCCAGCCACGCCCGACGGCGGGCCCGACCCACACCTGGCGATCGTGGTGGTCTGGTCGGTCCTCTGCATGCTCGTGGGCGTGATGCTGTGCTGGCGCGGCTGGTGCATGTGCCTATACCTCCCGAGGTCAGCTGCAGGACGGACGGGCATGGGCTGCTCCAAGGGCCAGCCCAGTGAGAGCTCGGAGAGGGGCCGATCGGAGCCAGAACCCGATCCGCCTCCAGCGCCCGACGCTCCCCGCGAGCATTGTCGGGAGCCGTCGGAGCCGCGTGGCAGGGGCGTGTTGCTGTTCCACCTGGACACGGTCGGGACCTCGATCCACTCGAGTCCGAACTGCCAGGCTCTGCGCGATCGGCATCACCCGCTGGTGACGAGGAGCGGGTGCCTGATCTGCGCTCGGGTGCTGGGCCAGGGGGTGCGCATGCTGCACCACGCGGACAGTGCCGAGAGCGCGGTCCACGCCGACGCTGCATGCCGCGGGTTGAGGTCGCGGAGGCGCCGTCTCGTGAGCCGCGGAGCGTGTGCGTTTTAGTTTGGGCATCGTGGCTAGCGCCTGCCCTGCTGCGCGCGCGCCCTCGGCAAGAGGCTCGAGGAGGGGTGTCGAGATATATCGCCCCCGGCGCCCTTCCGTGCCTCCCCTACATATCCCTTTCCCGCTCTCACCCATGCACTGTACCGAAGCCGTTTTGGCGCTGAGGATTTGAGAGCGAAATGGATCGGCATCGTTTATTGCTGTCAAGAGCTCCTCCAGTGGCATCTCCTGTGGCTCCTCCAAAGCAAGAAGGGGAATCACCTGGCATCGCTCGGACGTGTGCATGCTTCTCGGCGAGAACCATTCAGGACGATCCTGGACCATCGAGCAAAAAAAAAAAACACGCACGACACCGAAACATGCACGGGAAATGGACGTCCGAGCGATGGCGAGGGGAGGGCGGATGCCACTGAGGAGCATCTGGTGCACCAGGAAACCACTGCGGGCCACTGGAGGCGCATGTAAGCCAGACTGAATGGAAATCAATGTCTCCCAGTATCTTCTGAATGCACTGATATGGGGGGCATGGGGTAAACACGTAAGGGCAAAACTTCTAGGGGATTTGCAGAAGTCTCAGGAGTGAATCCAGGGCCTCATTCGCTTGGGGTGTCTCAGGGTCCTCTTCGGGGACTCGCGGGACTTCTCGGAGACTCGTTGGGATCTCGTGGGGGTCCTCTCGGCCTCTTGGAGGCAGTGTTTGGGCCTCCCGGGGCATCTTTTGGGCCCCTTGGGGGCCTCCTGGGCCCCTCTTGAGGCCTCCTGGGGACGTCTTGGGGCGGAAGGCTCGGAGTGTCGTTGAATGTTCTCTCTCTCTTGGGCCTCTTGTGGCCGTTTTGGGCCTTTTTGGGCCGTCTTCTGGGCATCTGGGTCCGTCTTGGGGCGCGCTTTCGCCGTCTTGGGGCCCTTTTGGGTCTCTTCGGCCGTCTTGGGGCGCCCTTGGAGGCGGCTGGGGTCGCCTTGGAGCGTCGGAAAACCGAACAGGCGAGAACGCCAAAATCCGACTAAAACCTACAGCAGATCAATGAGTTTAGTTCTTGGAGCCCTCTTGGGAGGCCTCTTGGAGGCCTCTTGCGCCGTCTGGGGGCCATCTTGAGCGTCTTGGAGCGATCGTTCGGCGACTCGGAGCCCTCTTGGACTGTCTTGAGAGCCTCTTGGGATCCTCTTGGTCCGTCTTGCGGCCCTCTTTGGGCCCAAAACATCCGCGCGCCACCACTTCCAAAAGCCCAGGCGGCACGCGGGAAGCCCTTTTAGAGTTCGGAGTTTGGGATCTTGGTCCCTAAAAGACGCTCCAGCACTGGGGATTATCGCGCGTCTGGCTCGGCGCTGCGCCCGTGCACGTTCTCGCCTCGTGACGTTACCGTGCGATCCGACGTCACGGCAAAAACAGGAAACTCGCCACAAACGTCGCGAGCGGGGCCCCAGACTCCACCTTCCTGCAGCATTTCTCGTGCGGGATCGATCCGCGATGGTCCTGAGGCCTGGAACCCGGCAAACACCCGTCGTGAGGCAAGTGTTAAGTCGGGCCTGTCCCCTTTACGGGGGCTTTCTCGACGAAAGATTAAAAATACAAAAAACAAAATCAAAACATTTTTCAAACATAGCCTGGGGACTATTTTTGGAGTATTTCTTGACCTTTTTGGTGTACTGTTTGGGTACTTTTCATTTTTCGATGAAAATCCCCCTGTAGGGGGACGCGCCCGACATGAGGCAAGTGCAGCGCCACGCTCTCAGGGTGTGCATCCTCGCCCCGTGGCGTCCGCTGTGCGAGGGCCCTCCGAGGATGCCTGCGGGAAGGCTCCCACAGAAGCTCTGCGGGCCTCTCTGGAGCCTGCCCCCAGGGGTTAAGTCTGGCCTGTCCCCTTACAGGGAGAGCTTCGACGAAAAATATAGAATACCAAAAACATGTTCTAAAAAGGTTCAAACATATTCAAAAAATAGTCTCCGTACCAGTTTGGATGATTTTCTACGAAAAATACCCCCAACATAGTAAACAAAAAAACAACCATCCAAAAATAGTCTGGGGATTATTTGTGGTATATTGTTTTACCCTTCTTCGGGTCTTTCTTGGGTTCTTGTCATTTTTCGTCGGAAATCCCCTAGTATGGGGGACACGCCCGACACAACCCCCAGAGACCTCCGAGGGTCCGGCGGCCGCCGTCGAAGGAGACTGGGTGCATCAGCATCTGTAGATGGTCGGAGCTCCGCGCGGCTTACTTGGGCCATCTGGAGGCTTCGTGGGCCTCCTTGGGCTCTTGGGCTCGCTGAGCCCCTGCGGCTCTCTGAGGCACTCCTAGAGGAGGAGGAGGAGGAGGAGGAGGAGGAGGAGGGGGAGGAGGGGGAGGAGGAGGAGGAGGAGGAGGAGGAGGAGGAGGAGGAGGAGGAGGAGGAGGAGGAGGAGGGTGGAGGAGGAGGAGGAGGGTGGAGGAGGAGGAGGGGGGGGGGCCATCTTGGACGCTCCAACGCCTCGCGAAGCCTCCCCCTCAGGTCCAGGGGAGGGGGCAGGGGGAAGCGTAAGCCTTTCTCTCGGAAGGAGAAGAGGGAGGGGTTGGAAGAGGAGCCTCCCTGGACCGCCTGCGCCCAGAGGGCTGGTGGAATGTTCGGAGCTCCGCCAGAATGTCTGGGATCTGCGCTGTAACCCCCCTGGAGGCGACTCTGGCGCCGCCCGTACCGCGTTCCGCGCGCCAGCGAAGGGGGTCCACCCCAGATCTAAGACATCCGCGCAGACCCCCGAAAGTCCGTGTTTATGCAGTTTGTCCTTCCTCTACGTCTGGGAGGGTGATTGAGCAGCTTCGGGGAGTCATAGGGCCATCTGGTGTGCGTCTTGGGGCCGACCTGGGCCAGGGTTGTTTGGAGCATCGTTCGGGCTCTTTGGAGTCATCTCGTGTCCATTTGGGACCTGTTGGTGGCTGGATTGGGTGGGGGCATGTCGGAGTCTTTTGTGTTTCTTTGTGGGTCGAACAAAGTGGCAGGCATATGTTTTTTTTTTGGCCTGTCACTCAAAAGGCCTCCCATGGTCTCCTGGGGGTCCCTACCGGGTCCTACGGCGGGGCCTTTGGTAATTTTCGGGCGCCATTCGCGGTTTTTTTGAGGGTCGCTGCCTTCCTCGCACAACAGTGATGAACCATGTTGGCGGCCTTGACGATACGCCCGGGCTGCCTCGGAAGTGAGTTCAAGTCTCGGGGCTCAAGAGACGGGGGTCAATGCAAACGGGGGCCAGCCAGGGCACCGGATCCTGCAGGATTCTGCGAAGACCCCCTCTGGCTGACCCGGGTTAGCGAGCCGCTCGGGGCCGCGAGGCGGCCGCGCATGTTGGCTGACACGGGTTTGCGAAGACCTGCGTTGCCGTTTCTGTTTCCTGCTGCAGGTTTGCGAAGACCTGCGTTGCGAAAACCAAAACTGCAGTTTTCGGTTTCCCGCTGACCCGGGTCTGGACTGACCCGGGTCAGAAGATCCCCGAAAGCTTCCTGAAGGCTCCGCATGCCCCCCTCCCGGGCCTTCCTCGCCGGCCCGTCGTGGGAGCGCAGTGGAACCGCACCCCCCCCGCTCACCCAGCAGGGTTCCCTCGCCCCCTCCGATCTGGCTCGATGCGATTTCGATGGCTGCTGGCTCCGATTCGATTAGACTTACGTCGGGCCTATCCCTCCACAGGGGGAATGTTCAAAAATAGTCGAAGAAAAGTCTGGGGACGATTTTAAAAATCATTTTTGAGTATTTTATGGTTTGTTTTTGAATTTGTTTTATTGTTCGTCAAAGATCCCCCTGTAGGGGGGCAGGCCCGACCTAAGATTAGACTTGGGATTCCGATGCGGATTCCGATTTCCAAGTGGAGGCCTTATCGGTGTGCCGATTTCCGCTTGATTTTTCCCGCGTTGGTTGCCGATCCCCGCCGATCCGATTCAGGTCGATCGCCGATGCGTCTGATCGATTTGATTCTGGGCTCTCCTGCCCTTTTACCCCCGCTTTGGTGCAGCTGGGGGCTGGCCGTGGGAATGATGCAGGTTCGGGGAGGGGGGGACCCTGACCTTCCAGAGAGCTATTTTTTAGCACGGGAGGCCCAAAAACCTAAAAAACTAAACGAAACAGCCTAAAACCAAGATATAGAATAGCTCTGGGATAGGTTTTTAAGTCACGTGCTATTTTTTAGCCCTCCTGGATGGTCAGGGGAGAGGGGGGGCCTTATTCAAGAGAGGAAAAAAACCGCCCGGACCAGACAATCGGCGTTTGTTACACGGCCCTTGGCGCTCACGGAACAGCCCTGCCCTGTCCGATCCCTTCTCTTGGGCGCGCTTATACGAAAGGCCTCGCGTGCCGTGGCGGCTATTCTCGGGGTGGATGTTCTGCCCACTGCTCTCGGGGGTGGACAGCAGAAGACAGAGCCCCCAACAGGGACACGTCGATTCGTGAATTGTCCGTTTTCGGTTTGTTGAGAGGGCGCCGTGGCCGTCATTTTTTCCAGGCTCGCGCCCGGCATGTGTGGGCCTCTGGTAGTTTTCACTAAACCACGTTTTGCTAAAGGGGGGTCTGTCCATCCCCGATGTTGCGCGTCATTTTGCGATGGCTTTCCCGAAGCACGGTGTATCTCGTTTTCCGTCGGGCGTCCTCTTCTACCGTGGCCCACTCGTCCAGCGCACCGCAGCTCACTTCTCATTCTCTCTTGCCGATGTTCCTTCTCATGGAGGATACGGAGCTGAATATTTCGGCCACTGTCGGCTCATCAGCATCAGCCATCCCCGATGCCCATCAGCACCAACGGCACTCCGCCGCGGGGTCCTCACCCGCACACAGCTGCGGGAAGCAGCACCGGGCCCTCGGCGGGCAGAAGAGGGCGGCCTGTCCCCCATACAGGAAGATGTTCGACGACAAATTAAAAATACCCCAAACATGCTCCAAAAAGTTCAAAACATATGTTAAACATAGTTCCCGTACTATTTTGGAGTTTTTCGGCGAAAAATAAAAAATACATCAAAACTAGTGAAACAAATAATCCAACAATAGTCTGGGTATTATTTTTTTGACATTGATTGACCCTTCTTCGGGCATTTTTGTGGTATTTGGGGTATTGTTCATGTTTCGCTTTTACCCACGCTTTGGTGGAGCTAGGGGCTGGCAGTGGGAATGATGCAGGTTCGGGGAGGGGGGGGGGGCCTCATTCAAGAGAGGAACAGCCACCTGGACCGGACAACTGGCGTGTGCCGAACGGCCCTGGGCGCTCACGGAACAGCCCTGCCCTGTTCGATCCCTCCTTCGGGCGCGCTTATATTGAAGGCCTCGCGTGTCGGGGCGGCTATCCTCGGGGTGGATGCTCTGCCCTCCTGCTCTCGGGGGTGGACAGCAGAATACAGATCCCCCAACAGCGACACGTCGATTAGTGAATTGTCCGTTTTCGGTTCTCGAGAGGGCGCCGTGGCCGTCGTTTGCCAGGCTTGCGCCTGGCAGGCTTGGGCCTCGCGTCGTTTTCACTGAACCACGTTTTGCTAAAGGGGGGTCTGTCCATCCCCGCTGCTCATCAGCACCAACGACACCGGACAATTGGCGTTTGCTAAACGGCCCTGGGCGCTTACGGAACAGCCCTGCCCTGTTCGATGCCTCCTTTGGGCGCGCGTATGTTGAAGGCCTCGCGTGCCGGGGTGGCTATTCTCGGGGTGGATTTTTTGCCTTCTGCTCATCAGCACCAACGGCACCGCCGCGGGGGCTCTCGGGGGTGGACAGCATAATACAGAGCCCCCAACAGTGACACGTCGATTCGTGAATGGTCCGTCTTCGGTTCTCGAGAGGGCGTCGCGGCCGTCATTTGTTCCAGGCTCGCGCCGCGGCAGGTTTGGGCCTCTGGTCGTTTTCACTAAACCACGTTTTGCTAAAAGGGGGTCTGTCCATCCCCGATGCTCATCAGCCTCGGGTAGGGGGCCGCATGCGAACCCTACCCCTACCCCCCACGATTTCTGAGGGGGAGGGTGAGGTTCACTTCGTTTGGGAGCTCCCGAGCGAAGTGAACCCCACCCTCCCCCTCAGAACTCGTGGGGAGGAGGAGGAGGAGGAGGAGGAGGAGGAGGAGGAGGAGGAGGAGAGAGGAGGAGGAGGAGGAGGAGGAGGAGGAGGAGGAGGAGGAGGGAGGAGGAGGAGGAGGAGGAGGAGGAGGAGGAGGAGGAGGAGGAGGAGGAGGAGGAGGAGGAGGAGGCCCCCTCCCCCTATCTGGACGTGCCCGCGGCGAGCCTGGGGGGAGGTCAACGCCAGCGACAACGACGACGATCGACGACAATACCGATCACAACGATCCACGGCAGCGCTGACGATCACGTCGTGGTGTTCGTGGTGATCGTCATCGTTGTGGTCGCTGTCGTCGTTGTGATCGTGATCGTTGTGGTCGTCGTTGTGGTCGTTGTGATCGTTGTCGCCGTCGTTGCTATCGTTGTTATGGGGGGCGGGCCTTCTCGGAAGGGCCGCCGCCCTTGGAGCAGGCCTGCCCCCTCTCACTTCCCCTCCCTCCTCCTCCTCCTCGTCTTCCTCCTCCTCCCTCCTCCTCCTCCTCCTCCTCCTCCTCCTCCTCCTCCTCCTCCTCCTCCTCCTCCCCCTTCGCGTCCTTTTCCTCCTCGTCCTCCTTTCGGGATCGGTGAAACGAGGCACACTCCTCCCGTACTGGAGATCCTGGAGCCCCATCCGTCTCCAGGCGCCTGTCTGGGGGGGAGGGAACCTCCAGGACCGGCAAAGCCTCGCCCCGACTCCAGTGAGAAAACAAATGGTCTGGGTCAGAAGGTGGAGGAGAGCTCACGAGGGGCACTGGTTGGTTTCATCTCCTCTGCTCAGGCAGGGGAGAGAGACTGGATACATAATCCCAAACACTTCAGGAAACCAGCCAGACCGCCAAAAAGTGGTAGACCACTTCTCACCGTGCGACGGGGCACGCTGGCGGACAGCGATCATGGTCGAGTCCTCCCTGCGCACCGCCAACGAGGATAAGGAGGCACGGAAAGCGTGGAAGAGCATGAAGAGAAAGAGCATGATGCCTCAGTTGAGGAGTATATTCTTTGCTCTGGACACGAGCGGAGACGGAGAGGTGGATCTCAAAGAGTTGTTGAACGCCCCTCCCGAGATAAAGGAGGCCCTTCAGCACATCGTCGGCCTGGACGAGCTCGAAGAAGTGTTCAGCCTGATGGACTACGACGGAAGCGGCGTTATCGACATTGGCGAGTTCGTGGATGGCATCATGCGTTCGCAAGCTGACAAGCCGTCGGAGCTCTTCGTGCTCGTGAAGCAGAGCAAGGCGATCCTGGAAATGCTGCAGGGCTTGGGTCCGCGACCCCCTGCTCGCACCAGCGCATGCGAGGGTGCTCCCTGCAATGCTTGGGACTGCGAGTCCCTTGCCACATGAGCCTGAAGGCCCCCGCGCAGTGCCAACCACACTGCGCAAAGGTGAACCAAGTCGAATCTCAGTTCAACCATTGAGGCTCTCGGGCATTGTCTGCCTCGGAGCTCACGCTCCCTTGCCCTGCCCTCTGCTTGGGTCACCCCCTCCCTGACTGGCTCACTCGGAGGTCCTCTGCGTAGACGACACGAGGACTGTCGGCAGGCGGTCTGCTCACACCCCCCCTCGACGAAAAAACAAACGCCATAAACATAAACGTTTGGTGCTCCGCGCGGATTTCTTGGATCTGAGCTTGGCCCCGCCTGGCGGCACCTCCGGCGCCGCCCCAGGCGCGCTCCGTGCGCCAGGGAGGGGGGTCTGGCGCAGATCCAAGCCATCCGCGCGGAGCGCCAAGGGTTTGTGTTTATGGCTTTTTGTCTTTTGCCAAACCCCATCTACACATCTCCTCTGCTATCGGACCCACCTTTAGAGACCTGGAAATGGGCACCAACGCCAACACAGGGGTTTGCCTCCACAGGGGGAAGATGATCCTAGATCTCGGTGTCGGTGGTAATACGTCGGTCACCTTGGAAGCCAGAGCATGACCACCATCGCCGAGATCGGGATCTCCTTCCCTCGGTGGAGGCACACCGCCGATATCGGTGTTGGTGTCAAGGGCGCCCTCGAGCGCGAAGTTATTCGCGCTTCGCGCGTCGCCGTTGGACTCCGATTCCTCCTCGTCCTCCCCTTCTCCCCTGGGAGGCGGCGCGAGAGCGCGAAGTTCTTCGCGCAGCGCGAAGCGCGAAGTTGGGAGCCTTGTGGTGTCAACCTCGAGGCCTGCGATGCACCTCTCTCGCACGCGCACTTGCACACGCTCTCTCTGGCGCTGCGGCCGCGCGCGCCAGGGGAGGCGAGCGCGGGGCGGGCGAGGGGGGGGGAGCGAGGGCGCGGCCAGGCCGGCCCTCGCGGCGGAGAGTCGCACGGTAGGCTCGCGCCGCGCGGAGCCAGGGGGGCCCCAGTGATGGGCACGTTTTCCACCACCACCACCACCACCATAAGTGGGAGGGGGAGGGGGTCCTTCTCCACCTCCTCCTCCACCTCCTCCTTCTCCTCCTCCTCCTCCTCCTCCTCGTCCTTCTCGTCCTCCTCCTCCTCCTCCTCCCCCCGTCCAACTCATGGTGGTGGTGGTGGTGGAACGCAGGGCCATCACCCAGGGCGGGGGTTCGAGGTGTAAATTGGGCGTGTCCCTCTACAGGAGGAGTGTTCAAACAGAGAAAACAAAAATCCTGGCGCAGGACCCACTCGTGAGTGGCGCAGTGGTGAGCAGCGCAGTGGTGAGTAGCGCAGTGGTGACCTAAACAAATGCAGTTGTGAGCAGCTGAGGACCGTATTCGGTGGAGCTCCGTATGGGGCCACGAAGCGTGTGAGGGGTGTGCCCAAACAGGGGGTGACGCCCACATGTGAGCACTGCCGCTGGGGCCTTTAGGTGGAGCCGCCTATGGGGGCCACGGAACGCGTCAAGGGTGTGCCGAAACGGGGGTGACGCCTACGTCTGAGCACTGCCATTGGCGCCTTCTGTGGTGGAGTTCCCTATGGGGCCACGAAACGTGTGACGGGTGTACCGAAACGGGGGCGACGCACACATGCGAACTGCACAATTGGGGCCTTTAGGAGGAGCTCCTCCCTATTGGGGCAGCGAGACGTGTGAGGGGTGTAACGAAACGGGGGCGACGCCCACATGCGAACTGTGCCACTGGGGCCTTGGGTGAGGCTCCCTATTGTGCCACGAAGCGTGTGAGGGGTGCGCCGAAACGGGGGCGACACCCACATGCGAACTGGTCGGCATTAGGTGGAGCTTCCTATGGGGCCACGAAGCGTGTGAGGGGTGTGCTAGCATGGGGCGGCGGCGCCATGCGAATCCTGCCACTGGGGCATTCCGTGGAGCTCCCTATGGGGCCACGAAACGTGTGAGGGGTGTGCCAAACTGGGGCGGCGTCGCCATGCGAGCTGCGCCACTGGGACCTTAGGAGGAGCTCCCTATACCCTATAGGGCAACGAAACGTGTGTAGTGTGTGTGCCAAGAATGGAGCGTCGGCGCCACGCGAACTGCGCCACTTGGACCTCAGGTGGAGCTCCTTGTGTGGCCACGGAGCGTGCAAGGGGTGCGCCAAAATGGGGCGGCGCCCACATGCGAGTTCCGCCACCGGGACTGCAGCCACGAAACGTGTGAGGGGTGTGCCAAAATTGGGTGGCGGCGCCATGCGGACTGCGCCACTGGGACCTTAGGTGGAGCCTCCTGTGTGGCCACGAACGTGTGAGGGGTGTGCCAAAATGTCTAGTTTCGAGTTGACCCAAAAGGGGGTCCAGCAACAAGGGGGTGGTGCAATAGATTTGGTGCAACATATTGTGGAGTTGCAATGCATTTGGGGCGTGCAATACAGTCCGGGGCGCACATGTATTGCTGGATGTTCGCGTGCACTGCGTTCCTTGCAACACAACTCAATACAATTCTCCGGCGCAATACAATCGCAAGACACTTGCCCAAATCTATTGCACCACCCCTTTCAGCTGGACCTCCTTTTGGGTCACCCAACTAGTTTGTATGTCGGGCGTGTCCCCCTACAGGGGTAGTAGTTTTCGACGAAAAATAAAACATACTAACACATGCGCCAAAAAGCCAAGAAAATAGTCAAAACTTAGTCCCTATGTTTTGATTCTTTTGTTTTGCTATTATTGTTTTTTGTTTTTCTCTTTCGTTGAACATCCCCCTGCAGGGGGACAGGCCCGACTTCAAACTAGCTTGGAGCGATTGTCCTCCGACCCTGCTCCGCCGTTCCTGGTGTTTTTCGGGTGACGGCAGCTCTGGTTCGTGGACATGGGACGGGGGAGCGCCCCGAGCACAAATCACTAAATCAGGTTCCACGACACCCAGTTCTGCCAACGCCCGATGTTGGGTCACCCAACTACTACAGGGCCGTTTTTCATGCATGCTCCGCGTGCGGATCCTGTATTAGAAATGCAGGAAATTTGAATTAAAAGCAACGATGGGTTCATGCATGACACGCCAAAAGGCAATGACAATCTTAGGGATGCGCCCTCAAAAAATAAGGGACTCCCTCAGATTGGCATCGTCATGAGGGGATGCCCAGCCTAGGGATAGGGATCGGTTCCAGGCTGGTAGACCGCGGCCCCGCTGCCGCCGGCGGCCGCTGACCGCCGACTTCGGGAGAGCGAGACATGCATCCAGGGGTGCCGATGATCTATGTCTTCGAGAACGTGCCATGCCCGCCCCTGGGCTATTCGCCCCTATCGTCGCCGCCGACGCGCAGCCGATACCCGGGGCATCCAGGGGTGCCGATGATATATGTTTTCGAAAAGGCTCCTTGGCGACTACGTGTAATACCCGCCCCTGGGCTGTTCGTCCCCATCGTCGCCGCCGATGCGCAGCCGATGCCAGGGTGGGGCCCCTGGGCTGCTCGGATGCAGCACGGCTTGGTGCCGTGCTCGTATGCGGTCGGCATCCCCCGAGCTGCCAGGCTGAAGTCGGGCACGTCCCTCTATACAGGAGGAATCTTCAGAAATTGTCAAACAATAGTCTGGGGCGTATCTTTTGGCGTTTCTTTGGACATGTTTGGCGTATTGTTTGGGCTATATTGTATTTTTCGTCCGGAATCCGCCTGTCGGAGTACATGCCCGACCTAACTCTTGGCCTCGGAGTAGCTGGGGTCGGAGGATCGCTCGGCATCCCGGATGCAGGGCTCGATGTTCTCCACGCCGACGTCGCCGATGCATCGCCGACGTCGCCAAGGCGTCACCGAGGCGTCGCCGATGCATCGGCGATGCATCGGCGATGCGGTGCAATCCTCCGAACCCATTTGCTCGGACCCCATCAAGGAGGCCTCCAGTGCTGCAGCCCGCCTGGCCAGGCTGGGGGGCTCCAGCAGATCGTATATGTTACATGTGGGAGGCAGGAGCTGCATAACACAAACCTCTGGGAGGTCTGCTCGGATTTCTCCGATCTGCGCTGTGTCAGCCTCTGGCGCCGCCCCTGGCGCGCTCTGCGTGCCACGAAGGGGGGTGTCGGCGACGATCCAAGAGCTCCGTGCGCAAGTCTGTTTGTTTCTGCCGCCTCTTCTTGCTCTGCTTTTCGGTGGATCTATGAGTTCGGGCGCTTCTGCGCACAGGCGGCCTGGTTCACCCCCCCCTGTCCTGGGCAAGTTAGCGGGGATAGGCTTAGGGGGAACGCATCGGCTCCAACTAATCGCCTCATGATAGACGATTGCATCCCGATTCCCGATGAAGGAGGTATGTCTTTAGTTATGCATCCCCCCCGTTACTCCTGGCGGGGAATAAGCTCCGCCCCTCCTCCTCCCTCTGTTTTTTCTCCTCCTCTTCCTCCCCCCCCCTCATCCTCTTCCTTCTCCTCCTCCTGCTCCTGCTCCTGCTCCTCCTCCTCCTCCTCCTCCTCCTCCTCCTCCTCCTCCTCCTTTTCCTTTACATCCTCATCCTCCTCCTCCTCCTCCTCCTCCTCCTCCTCCTTTCTCCTCCTTCGCCGCCTGCTCCTCCCCCTCCTCCTCGTGCTGCTCCTGCTCCTCCTCGTGGTCGTTAGCGTAAGTCGTTGTCGTCGACGTCGTCGTCGCGGCG